ATAATAATAATTTATGGTGTTAATACATGGATTAAAGTTCTAATAATAATAATAATTTATGGTGTTCATACATGTATTAAAGTTCTAATTATATTAATAAAGTTAATTTATTTATGCCCTTCAAAGGACTTTCTATGCTATAATTTTTTTAAATATATCTGACAACCTGGGCAGCACGGTGGCACAGTTGTTAAAGCTGCCACCTCTCAGCAGGAAGGTCGTCGGTTCAAATCCTGTCTGGGGGCCTTTCTGGGTGGAGTTAGCATGTTCTGTCTGTGCATGTGTGGGTTTTCTCCAGGTACTCCAGTTTCCTCCCACAGACCAAAAACATGCATGTTAGACTGATTGGTAACTCTAAATTGTCCCTAGGTGTGAGTGAGAGAGTGAATGGTTGTTTGTCTCTGTGTCTCTTTGATGGACGGGAGACCTGTCCAGCATGTCTCCCACTTTATCATGCAAGTCAGCGGGTGATGAGCATTCCTTCAATGAATACAAATGTTTGCGGTATGAATCTTTTTTCCTACATGGACATACTTCTTTTGTCAACACATTTCAGTTTAGCTCTAAACACTTTTTTAGTTTTTTTGACAGCTGTGAGCATTTGTAGTAGGTTAAAGCATAACAATAAGCTGCTTTTCTTTAATATTACTTGGCTTTGTTTCTATCTTGAACAACAGTTCTACAGTTTCTAAATAACTTTCAGGGTATTGTGCAGTTTCAAGGTTACTGAAGCGTTTGTTTGGCTGAAACTAAAATATTTCAAAACTATTTCTAAAAGAAATGTCAGCTTTTGAAAAGTGGAACAAAATATGTATGTTAGACAAATAATAAATAAATATAACTACACATATTCTCACAAAAAAAAGTCTTGTGCATAAATATGATCAAAAGAAAATCACCAAATTAGATTTAGAGAAACTGCATTCCAGCTGTCACCTTCTCACCTAAAAATGAACATTTTGTCATAAAACAGAAATGTGATACGTCAGTTAGACATGCTACTACAAACACAGTTGGTTAAACAACTTTTTTCACATTCATACCATAAAAATTCTTACACACTTGTAAAAAAAAAAAAAAAAAAAAAAGTAAATCTGTGTTACATGAAATAAAACAATTGAATTTTAGGTGTGTTGATTTAAAAATATTGTATTTCCAATTCATTATAAAAAATCGAACTCAAATAATTTATTAATTACCATTTAATGTAATTTTATACATATTCAGAATATATAAATTGTTACATATCTTACAATAAATGGACATTCTGTTCTACAAAACATTGATATTTCATGGAAATTAAGTCCAAGGTTTCGAATATTGATTACATTAAAAGCAATTGTTAAACTGATGGAACGGCACAAAGACTGATGGACCGTTTCATCTTTTTATTTATTACTTTTGTTTATTAATCAGGACCAAACTGGGCCACACCGGTCGCAGCTGTCAGCCAGCCGAGTCTCCTGCCCCACACCTACACCCTCCCTCAACCTCCATCGTTCAGCCACAGTGTCACAGCTCAGTCACCCATCATAGGAGTGACCCCGTCCATCCAGGCGCCGATGGCCCCGCAGCATCCCCTCATGACCACCCACTTCCAGCTCACGCCTCAGTCCACTCAGCAGCCGCACTCCATGGTGCTGAGCCTGCCCAGCCAGCCTCCCTACGTGTCGGCCCAGCCAACGGTTACACCGTCCGCCCTCGCTGCCCAAGCCAACCAGGTGGTTCATCCGAACCCTCACAGCATCATGGGCAATGGCCACCTGACCTCTCACTCCAGCCTCCTCCAGCCCCCCGCTCTGCCCCTCACCAACGGACAGGCAGCACTGGTGCATGCCCAGCCTACTGCTGCAGACAATCAGGACGGTCCCAATGGGTTGCAAATGCTACGGACAGTCGGGAGTGGGAAGTACGAGTTCAGTGACCCGGGACACCCCAAAGGTAAGCAGACAGTCTTTGGTGAACAGCAAGACATTGTTTTTGTTGTGTGTTTTAAAATAAAATCACTATATACTGCATGCCTTTCAAGGCCAAATCAAAGCAGATTTGTTTGGTCCCGAGCTTAAAAGAGAATCCAAGCTTGAACATTGTTTGCTACCAAATCAATGTCCTCATAGCTTTATCGCGGGTGACCTTTCCCTTATGCGGGGCTTTGCTGGAATGAAACACATAGGCCTCTGCCCTCTGTCTTTAAACCAGAGCAATTTTGGATGCCAGCCCTCATAAAAAAGGCTTTAAACATCCAAGCAAGAAGTTGTTGAGATGCAGTTTGCAACCAGAAACCAATTCACCTCAAAGCTGCTCCAAGGTCACCGAGAACCGTGCACCTGAAGAATAAGAGATGGGTATAACGTAAAGCCAGCCATACCTCCTACGAACCATTCTTCTGATTCTAAACTCCTATACCACAGCAACATCTGTAATACTGTGCTCGGAAATTGCTTTCCACTGTGTCAGGTTAATCTTTTCGCCGCACCGAGCTGCAATGCACGCAAGTCGCACTAAACACGAGGCAGGAAGAGCTTTCAACCCCTGTCCTCACATCTCCCTTACAATCATTTGACGCCTTGTTGACTTGCGCTGTGTTTGTGAAGTTGCTTCACAGCTCCTTCTCACCCCCGAGTCTGCAGAGCCATAAATTGTTTGCTTTAACCTTGCAGTTTATGACGCAGGCTGCACGCTCGAAACAGATGTTCGCAATTCCCCAACCAATTTTCACATTTAATGAAGCTTTTAATTTCGGCTTAGATTGTTTTCTTTTACCTGACTCATTTTGATCAATAAAATGACTCCAAATGAACTTGTAGATTGGGAAGAGGAGGAAAAAAAGCAATTATTTTAGTTAGGGGCGGGCTGGCTGTGATACCTCGAAATGAGACTGAAGGTAGAAAGGAAAGTGGAAAATTAGATTGGCTCATCTGCTTTGTCCCGTTGAATCCAAACTTTTTTACCTCTATCGTTAATAGACCTACGATCCATTTACAAGTCAGAACGTATTTATCTTTGTGGTCAAAGACACATTAAGTTTGATTGGATGACAGTATTTTTAAACATCAGTTATACGGGAATAATCCTGATTGGTATTGGATAGACTTAGGTCTTGCAGGAATGGGTTAAATGGTAGTCAGTAAATTTGTTGTGATAAGATCTTTTAGTCGACTGCGTTGCGGACATAAATACTTTTCTTCTGTAATCACGATAATGCCACCGAGACCGTTCTGGCCTGCAGTAACTGTCCTGCTCTAATGTTCTCTTTAAGCTTTTCTGTCCTTCTCTTCAAAGCCTTGCGAGTTTTCAGACACTTGTTGGTGTTTAAGCATTTAACATTATCTGGGATATCTGTGGATATTCATGTTTTCAGTCCCAGCTCATCACCGTTGATCAGAAACCCTAATGTTTTTAGGGTTTACGTTACAAAGTAAAGCTAAGGTGTTGGTTTAAGAAGTTTAGTCTTTCAGGCTGATAATGCAAGAGTTGTGGAAAGTGTTGCCATAACAAGGAGGGAACACAAATATGTTTTTCATAGTAAGCATTTCTGTGTAGTTTGAAGCAGAAGCTGTATTTTTTCCATATCGACGTAAGTGGCAATTTCATTTTAAGCAAAAAACTCTTCCGATTTGTTGGCACTTATTTGATTTTTTAAATTTTTTTATATCTAAGCCAAACCCCACCAGTTTGCCCAGCCCCTGTCCGTCAAGCAGCTACCTTTTCCGTTTAAGTATTTTTAGTGGTTTTAAACAACCGTTTAAAGCTGAGAAAGCAGTCTTTGAGAGTGCCACTTTAAGATTCAGAACCGCTGCTTGTTTCATGATTTTGATTTTAAAGTGACTGCATCCACACAGTTGAGACTTGTAATGAATTCAAGTTTACTCATCTCAAGTCCTGCAGCTGAACAACCGTGTGTTGAAACAAACATCAGGCAGAGACTTGAGCTGCTGCTAATCCTGCAGGCTGGGAATTTTTATATTTTATATCTTTTTCACCAGCCCAATGGATCAACATCAGGGCTTAATTTGTAAATTGATCCATGCCGGAATGCAAATAGTGGGTGGGCTGGTGGTGGGGGGTGTCTAGGGGTCCTCCCCCAGAAAATTTTGAATAAAGTCTATGCGATTTCCTGTATTTTGGTGCATTTTAACGTGTTGTTAAACATCTATGTTTACCTACATTTATACAGTTCAGAGCCCAACACTGTCCCTGCTCATTGTTGTCTGACTACATGTGAAACCTCCAGGTGCCTACCTTTGTCTGTTCATGGTGTCTGCCTGTGGACTCCTGCCCATGTCAGGTTAGCTGGGTTGGCACTCACTCACCCCACTAGGGGCGGAGACTTTTTTAAGGGTAGAGGCAGAAGTGCTACTTGAAGGGGCATCTCGTATGCTCCTAAGTGACTGTTGTGTTTAAAATGAATGTTTATGTAATTATTTTCAGTTTACATATCCTATATAAGTTTTATTCATTCAGGGCAATCATATTTGTTCATAACTTTATTATTAGTAAGCCTGAGAGTTACCGGATCCAAGCAGAAGGTTACCAGAACACACCCTGTCAAATTAAGAGCGTTCCCAGATCCTGTTCCGGCAGGATCCGGCTCAAATTAAACACTGATCAACATGGAAGAGGATGCACATATTATCCCAGAAAAGCTGAGCTCACTCATGAACATAGTGTCTGCTATGAAATCCTTTCAAAATAAACTACACTAGCAGAAATAGATGCTGAGATGCTCCCAAGTAGTTTTTTCTTTTCTTCTGTTTTTTATTTGTATAATGGAAAGACTGTGGGCTTGGGTAAGTGATGCTTACCCAGAAAAGCACCATAAGGAATTCAGTCTTTGAGATCATTTCACTTTAAGATTTAGGACCGCTGCTCACTCCATGATTTTGATGTTAAAGTAACTGTATTCACACGGTTGTTGTTTTTTTTTTTTATTTAAAGGGTTTTACATTAATTCTTTGAATTTGAGCATTATATGTACATTGCATATATTTGAAAATCAGTCCTTTTGCCCAGTGGTACCAATGTAGAAGAACAAAAACTATCAAATATAAAGCTATAAATCATGGTCTTTGTTGACAAGTGAACAGAGCTGCTCTGGCCATGAAGCCATTCTCATTGTGTTTAAAAATGGACTCAAAGGGGTTCTTGACCAGAAATCAGCGAGGAGACATTTGGGAATGAGGATATGTTGCGTTATGTTGACCAGTACCTCACATCTGGTGGCTTTCAGAAGCGATCGAGCAGTCGTTTGCAAAACAAAAGTTCCCGCTGACAGAACGCTGGTATAAGCACTGACGGGCTGAGATGCTTTAGTGGCTTTTTGATGGTAACAGCCTGAAACTCAGAGGGGGGAAGAAAAGCGCTTTTTCTTTAATTCAGCCTCACAAACAGGCCGTTTGTATCCATGTGTGTGCGGCTACATGCGTGCCTAACTTCCTGGGTGTGACTTGGTGGATGTTTTGTCAGACTGTCAGCCTTAAAGTCAAGATGACGGTGACGGAAATCACAGTTTACGTTTGATTTGGTTTTGTCTTCAAAGGGAGCAATTTGTCTTTGCTCTGTATCGGTGGGTACATCAAAAAGTACACGCTTCACTTCTCTTTGAGTCCGTCTGTGTGTCTGTCTACCTATTTCTGTTTGCAGTATATATTAAATGTGTGTTTGTGAATGCAGTTGCCATGTGCGGTGTGTGTGAGCATGCATGTGTGTGTGTGGGTTTACACAGAGCTGCTGGAAGGCAGCTTTAACTTCATAACCTACTGCGATCCTCCAGTCACCTGGCTGTGATCTGCCTACCTGGTTTCTCCATCCACAGCGGGGCTTTTCATAATACCTGCCTGTCATGTCTGCACAAATCAAACTCCTTCTCACTGGTTAATTTTCTCACCGCCGCTCGCTCCCCCTGCTTTCCTTTTTATTGTCTTCTCTTTGTTTTTCTCTCAAACGCTGATTCTTATCTCAATAAAAACATATTCTCGCCAAGATTCTTTGCCTAACATCTGCAGCCGCCACGAGCGATCCCGCTTTTGCAGAAATGCGGGAATTCGACATGACTGACGCTGTTGTTGTTTAAGAGGACGCCTTAAAAGGAAAAAGAAAGAAAAATAAGAACAAGGGGGCCGTACACAGGAGGAGGTGAGATTAGAAGAGATAGGGAGGTTGAAGCTGATGAAGATAAAGAGAGGAAGATGCTGAGAGTGGAGGTGGTGTGTGTCTATTGACCGAGTCATTAAAATCGATGGTTGCACTGATGAATATCAGCCAAGGGAAGCTAGTTTCCAGCTCAGCAGGGATGAATTCGCTCATTGCAAATGTGGCTGAACACCATTTAAAGGCAGCTCACGGCTGAAAACGAATTTTCATTTCAAACCCCACTCTTTATTCCTGCAGATCTGCATCTGATACAGGGGCCAAATTGTGTTTTTGAGCATATTCTCCGAGCTCGGCGTGGAGCGAGTACGACAGAGCTTTAGGGCCACGCTAAAACAAAATTAATAACACATTGCCACGCTATGAAAAAAATAAAACTAAAGCCATAAAATTACAAGAATAAAGTTGTACAAGGCTTTTTTTTTTTTTTGCAGCGCTCGTTTATTAATTTTTTTCCACAAGTCTGCTCCATGACGCAACCTGTCAATCAATCCAGTAGGCGTGTCAGCAAATGCTCCTTACCTGCAGAGAGCTGCTGCAGCCCGTCATGATACTGATCATAATCTGATGTTGATGTGCTCACAGATTAAGTATCTCCTTATTTGTAAAACCAGTACCAAAGTATAACTTAACAAGATTCTCAACATTCTTCATTTTACCTCAGTTAAAATGCGGTAAAACCTGCTTTATCGTGTCGGAGTTCGGATAATATTACGACTCATTTTAGCTTTGGATTGGTCATTTGCTGACACGCCTACTGGATTGATTGACAGGTTGCATCGTGGATCCAA